GTCCTTCAGAAGTCAAATAGATTGGTGGACCCTAGCACATGTATGCATCTCCAAGCATCATTTTCTATTTATCTGCAACATGAGATGATGATAGAATTGCCCTTTGTCGAAACCCTTGCAAGACTCAATCAAGGGGAATGGGAAATGAAGACTTTTAGCCCAGGGCCTCAAATTTATTAAGGGCTCAGTGTCTGTGATTGTATTATCCCTGTGGAATGGAAATATACTAAATAGGTTAATTAATCATCACTGAAATATCACACCCATGTGAACAACTAATGTGTAGAAGGCATACGTCTTAAATTCTCATACATATACTATTTACAGAATAATCTGGGTGGCTGAAAAGTAATTTCCTCTCTGCCCCATGGACATTTTTTCTAGCAGAGGTGTAGGTTGCTCAAGCACAGCCCAGGATAAGGTTGATGGGAAGTGGGCCAAGAGGACCCCAGAGTCAAGTGGCTGACGTTTCCCATGAAGGCCTGGCTCATGTAGGAGTGCCATGCCTCTGCCAGATGCAGGCTTCTAAAGCTGCAATAAGAGGGCCTCTTTGCAAGGGGCCTCCCAACTCAAGGAGATTTCCACAACCTGCGGGTGACCATGCCAGTGTGGACACGAAGGCCCTCCCACAGTGATGGGGCATATCCACCCACAGGCTGGACCCAGAGCTGGTGGGATGAAGTCTCATATCTCCCTGTCTCCCTCCTGTGCTCTCTGTCACTGTCCAGGGCTTCCCTTGGTTCTCCCTGCTGGTCCTTACTCTGGGTCATCTATCCACCCTTCTCCTCTCCCCTTGGCTGACTCCTACTTACTCCTTGTATCAACTGAAAGGCTGCCTTCCCAGGAGGCCTCCTTGGTCCTTGGGCGCCAGGGGGATAAGGCCCTTCTGAGACACCCTCCATCCAGCAATGCCCTGCATTCCTCTATGGTTCTTGCTTCTTTGTGCCACCTTGTATAAACCAATGCTGTGCAAACTACTGAGTTTAGGGCTCAGCATCACTGTGCTCAGTGCTTGGCAGATAATAAGGTATTGTCTGTAACACACCTAGCAGCCTGAGATGCACAGGCTGAAGACATACATTCCTTCCCCTGCAGCCATGCCTTCTGCTCCCTGCCCCACTCAGCATTTTATTCTATGTTGATCAGAATTACCTCATGTAGCTTTAGTTAGATGCAGTGTTTAAAACATACATCACTCTTGCACATATATAGAAAGGAAAAGTTGATTGGTACATTTCCTAAAACATTTTCTTATTTGGAATTTGAGTCCCCTGGATCATTTGCTTAATGCTTACTCAGCTATGTCTTGTCAGATTGTCAGGTTCATGGTCGGGACCCACAGGATGTTGCCTTTCTGCAGAGGTCATCCTCTGCTGTTTCTGGGCGTTTCTTATATATTTTGCATCCACACATCAGCCACTTGACTCTGGGGTCCTCTTGGCCCACCAGCCTCTTCTTGGGTTGTGTCTGAGCAGCCTACACCTCTGCTAGAAGAATTGTCTGTGGCAAAGAGAGGAAATTATTGCTATTATTATTATTATTATTATTATTATTATTTTGTATTTTTAGGGTAGGGTCCACAGGGTGTTTAGGGTCTCACTATTAGATCGGACTTGTAGTGATCCACCTGTTTACAGTCTCCCAAGAGCTGGGATTATAGGCATGTGCTACCACGCCCAGTCTCAATTGCTGTCTCAGCGCGCTCCAGGGATGAGGCTGGCACAGCAGGTCCAGGGCTTAAATCCCTGGTCCCTGCACCTGCTTGCAGGCACTTTAATGTGCAGAGCTATTTGGCTGACCCCAAAATTATTTTTTCGCCATAAAAATAGACATATATTCCTGAAGAATTTGCATGCTTGAGTCCAAGCAGAGAGAGCCACACTATGACCACTGCATGCTTTGGTGATTTTTAAATTTTTTTGTTACAGGGTCTCACTATGTGGCTTGAACTCATAGTGATCCTCCTATTTCAGCCTCCCCAGCACTGGGATTACAGGCTTGCACCACCAAACTTGGTTTTGGGCTCGGCTCAACAAACTCAGGTTTCCAGGGCCTGCATGGCATGCAGTACTGGGGATCAAACTAGGAACCTTGTGCTTGCAAGGCAGATGTTTATGCTGCTGAGCTATCCCTCATCTTGGTGATTTTAAAGTGAATTCTGTTTACAGAGACATGAAAAAGAGGAGACAATGAATCTGCTGTTCACCAGATAAATGTGGCACAACACTTGTAAAAATTTATGTGTGGAGCCTCTACTAGGTAGTAGGCTGGCCCTATTTACTCTGTGAACACGTGAATCTGCCTCAGCCTCCTGGGGCCACCAGGGGCCAGGCATGAAGTCATTTATCTTCTTCCAAACACAGCATCCAGGCTTCTGTGCTGACCCACCTCCTGAGCTGTGGTACTTTCTCCTCAGCCCTTACCTGTTCAGTGTAACATTGAACTGCAGCTGCACAGGGACTTTACTCCCTCCCGTGTGAGAACACCATACTCCTCATCTTGTTAAATCCCTTTGTTCTGTAGAAAAGGAACTTGATACTTGTAGTGGAAGGGGGAACTTATTTATGGTCACCATGGACAGTCATAAAATGTCTTAGTACAAGGGCCACAGCTGGAACCTGGGTTATCTCAGGTGCTTTCATGGATGCCTACAAGGCAGCATTTGGAAGCCTCACTTAGGGATGCAGTCCTGAATGCCCCTCAGTCCTTCAGGAGGTGATGGTGCTTGCAGGTAGAGTGAAGTTCTACTGAGGCTAGGATGTGGGTCCTGGTCTAGGCTGCTGGGCAGACAGGAAAACACTGGGCACAGAGGGAAGATTCTGGGAGGTGGACCTGGAGAAAAGAAGGGGAGCAGGGGCTGTGAGGACACAGAGGCCACCTGTAAGCCCAAGGAGAGGTTTTGGCCACCTGTAAGCCCAAGGAGAGGTTTTGGTAGGATTCCAGCTGTGGATCTAGGGATGGTGAGTCAGTCCTGCTGGCCAATGCAGGGTCTGGCATTTGGGTGGAACCCACTGACCTGAAGGGCCCTTCCCAAGGAGCTCAGGGGGGACATGGTGTGTGAGTGCTATTGCCTGTTAGACCAGCCGCCAGGTGCTCTTGTTCAGGGTCCTGGGGAAGCTGACTCCTCCCCTGGCAATACCTTTCCCCAAGGTGGAAGGAAGACAGTGAACAGGAACACCACAGGTGACAGTCACAGCCTCAGGCAGCAGCCACCAGAGGTGGAGGCACAAATGGTGTTCTCAGCACTCTCGGTATTTTATTTCTTTTTGAGTAAATCTGGGCTGCTGATGTGTCCTCAAACATTACCTTTATTAGTACAGAATCACACAGGCTTTCCTTCTCTAGTTGAAAACCCAAACTATGCATGCAGAGAGACTCTTCTCACCCCTTTGGCCTATTGTCTTTCCCTCCATCCTCCTCCTCCCCGCTCCTTCTGGGCTTCCTATATCATAAAGATTCTCCTCATGCTTAGCTTAGGGTCCCTGCAAGCCATCTCTTGTCTATGTCTGCACTCCAGTGATGGAGATAATCCACTTCCTGCTCTGCTCCTTTCTGAAGCTTGATCATGGCACTCCACTCTACCCTGTGATTTATCCCAGGCTTTCCTTACTGGACTTGCTGTCTACTCCTTGTAGAAGGCTGAGGACCTCATCTGGTGTTTGTCATGGAGCCTCTGTGATGATTCTATTTGTTCTACCTTCTCAGGTCCATGTAAAAACACTCATTAGAGTGCACAGTGGCTGTTTGGGTTTCTGGGGTTTGATGGGCTCTTACTTAATACAGCCCTGGTAAAGTTCCCCTGCAATCCATGCTGTCCTTAAGTGAGAATAGTCCTCAGGCTCTGCTAGTCCAAGGGATTTTAGTTGAATGCACTTAAGACTGATTGTATCTGGAGCTTTACTTGGACCTGGGAGGAGGAAGGAACGGGGAGAGGGCACAGCCTCAGAGTCAGATCTGCCCACTGTGGGTCTGCATGCTCAGCTGGCTGCTCTTCTCCTGCTGGAGACACTGAAGTGTGCCCCTTTCTACTGTCTTGCAGAGCAGCAGGTGGCTCCTTGCAGAAGTGCAGCTTGTGTGGGACAACGTTCCCAGTCCCGTTTCACCATTTCCATTTCAATCTTCACAACCATGTGTATGTTCAGTTTTGCTGTGACTTCTATGGGCAGCAACTGTACTTGTCTTGTTATCTTGCTGCTAAACACACACCCAGAACATCCTAGTGCTCCATAAAGACTTTATCCAACAAAGGCACAAACATCAGTTGTTTTATTAATGGGACATTGGGAAAAACTGAATCCAGGGCAAATTGGAGGGAAATTTAAGCTATACTTCCCTATCATGGTTGGTTTTGCTGTCTTAGTGCTAAGTTTATTTGGCTATAGACATCACATACAGTATTATCTCTGTTACATAACAAAAGCTAATTGGGTGAATTAAACAGTTGATTAGCAGGAACTTGTATTAAGTTCAATCATTCATCCCACAACCATATATTTAGTGCCTACTTATGGCTGGTCTTATATCACAGTAGGAATCTTTCTTGTGCTTGGAGAGTTGAGATTTGACTGCAACTACACTAAAAATAATTCTAAGGCATAGTGAACTATGCCTTACATAAAATCTAAAATGAGGTATAGAAGGAGTGAGGTTTGAGTTATGTGATAGAGGAAACCATGAAGATTCAGAGTTACAGAGGATGGAGCTGTGAAACAAGATTGTTTCTGAGACAGCAGGGATTCCAAGTCTGGAATAGTCAGGCAACTGCACAAAGTTAGTTCTGACTGAACAACAACGGCAGCAGACATGGGAAGGGATTTGGAATGGAAGTGAATACAATGGCTGAGGATGGCTGCATGGTAGTGACAGAGTTTTATGCATCTGTTATCTGAAGACTGAGAAAGTCACGCTAAAACATCACATAAGGAAGGCATTTCTACAGGCAAATGCCACAGCTTCAGGAATATTATTTCTTTTTTTTTTTTTCACTTACTGATAGTCATTTATTAAAGACATTAATAAATTTAAAATGCATTTATAGACTTTACTGTTAAATGTATGTATATGTCAAATAAATTTAATTACAGAATTCTTTAGAGTGCTGTTTCATAGAAATATAGGTGAACAGGTTCTAAACAAAGTATTTTTCTATGAATATACACATAAAATATATAAATATGCCACATGATACAGAAAAACAAGACTCATTCATGATCTTTGCATTTATAGGAATTTATAAAATCTTCTCTGAGGAAAGGGGTTACAAGTCAAACTTCTCTTCTTGAAAGCAGTCTGCAAAATCAAGATGATTTTGAAGTTGTCTGTATTTCACTGTAATCCAGCCACTTGACTCTGACCGGTTGAAAATGCGTTCCACTGTTTCTTTAACTTCTTCATCCTCAGCTGCCTCTGTCCTTACAATGGAGCAACACTTCTTGTACAGTTTGAATTTAAAATGTTTCAGCTTATGGTAAATTTTGGTTCAGTTAGCACAGATTCTGCCAACAGTAAACACCTGTTCATCATGTGACATGAACTCATCCATTTCCAAAGTTCTGGTGTTATATGACTTTCCTGACAAGTGCACTGAAAATTTGCAGTAGCAATGCAGTCCACAAGCCTGGCAGTAGCAGTTTTCAGGACACTTCGAATGGATACTTACATTAGAATAGTTTTCTACCCGCTCCTTATACTGTTCCTTCCAGCGACTCCTAGAAAATAAACCGTCCAGTCGCGGCTGGACACAGCGTTCATCCAAATAATGAAGAGAGGCCAACATGTCTTGCGCATATGACTTGTGCCTGGTGCCATCATACAATGTTCCCAGAAAAGAGCCATCTAAAGCATTGATTAGAAATGCCTTTACCACTCTCTTAAAGTGAATGTAGGGGTCATCAAAGGAATAAAGAGAATTCTGCTTTAATAACTTCAGTGGTGAGGTACTCAATCTTTCTTCTTGTTGAGTTTTACTCTCTTCATCACACTCCTTATCTTGTACCACAAAGTTGTCAATGATATAATCATCTCCATCTTCATCAGATTCAAAACTGTCCTCTTCCTCCTCATCTTCATCATTAATTGAGTAGGGTTCCTTTCCAAAGTCTTTTTTTTTTTAAATTCCAAAGACTGATTTCAACATCCACTGCATTCACTTCTTTCAGGAATAAGGAACAGCAGATCGTTTCCCAGCAGCTGTGGATCCCGCTCTGTCAGGAATATTATTTCTTAATAATCCCTCAATGCAAGGATTAAGTTTAGAGGAACTAGGAAATGGGGGAAGAGTAATGTCCATTGCAGTATTTTGTTTTTCAAATGGTCCATTGGTAAAAGTGGACTTTTG